GCTGAGAATTGATCTTGCATATAGCTATAACCATGTCCTGTAAGCAGTTGCTCCTAAATTTATAATGCTGCCACTTCTTGAGGCTTTACTCTAGGAAATATATATCTACTACAGAAGAGTTTGTTGTACAAGTTTATCCAGAGATAATAGTTTTACAGGGTATAAAACTCCATAGCATCGACTTGTTTGAAATAAGTGTCTGTTCCTAATTTTCAAACAACGTTCTCAAGCCCTGTCTTAGTTACTCATGACCAAAGGGGGGGAAAAAAGCAACCCGAAAGTAGGGTTATTGGTTTTTTCCCATTAAAACACACACACACACACACACACACACAAACACACAAACACACACACACACAGGGCATATTGAACTGAACTGACCTCATCTAAAATAATAAAAGTGAAATATGCTAATTAGACCAGACAGCTGAACAACCTTCTGGACGTCATTCTGGATGTCCTTCTGGATGAAGCCGCCGTGGCAGGGGCTGAGGCAGAGGCAGTTAGGGACAATCAGGTAGGCAGGCGAGCAGTTAGGGGCGATGAGGCAGGCAGGCAAGTGGTTAGGTGCATGGGGCAGGCAGGCAGAGTGGTTAGGAGTGATCAGGCAGGCAGGGAGGCAAGCCGTTAGGAGCCAGCAGTCCCAGATTGTGAGAGGGTACAGGCCTGGCTGAGGCACCACCCCCCATACGTGAATTTTATGCAAGGGGCCTCTACTCCTATATAATAAAAGCCTAATATGCTAAGTGTCCAGTTGTCCATTCAACCAATCAAAGCATAATATGCTAATGATATGCTAAGGCTGCTCAACCACTCGCTATGAGATGCACTGACCACCAGTGGGAGACCGGTTGACCAATTGCTATGATGTGCATTGACCACCAGGGAGCAGACAATCGACCAGTTTACCAGTCACTATGACATGCCCTGACCATCAGGGGGCAGATGCTCCGACCGATAGGTTAGCTTGCTGCTGGGGTCCAGCTGATCGGGACTGAGCAAGAAGGGCTGGACATGCCCTGGAGCCCTCCCGTGGTCATTCCTCGGCCCCAATTGTGCACAGGTTGGGTCCCTCAGCCTGGCCTGCGCCCTCTCACAATTTGGGCTGAGGGAACCCCCACCCCGAGTGCACAAATTTCATGCACTGGGCCTCTAGTTTATACTATAAAATCTCTACTGGTTCTCTTTAGAATAGTAGCATAAAAGCAAGTTAAGTAACACTTAAACATATACGGTAGCCCTCCTAGAAGAAAATCAGGTGCTCTGAGTATAAAGTAAAATTTAAAAATGTCACCGAAACCGGTTTGGCTCAGTGGATAGAGCGTCGGCCTGCAGACTGAAAGGTCCAAGGTTCGATTCCGGTCAAGGGCATGTACCTGGGTTGCGGGCACCTCCCCAGTAGGAGATGTGCAGGAGGCAGCTTATCGGTGTTTCTCTCTCATCGATGTTTCTAACTCTCTGTCTCTCTCCCTTCCTCTCTGTAAAAAATCAATAAAATATATTTTAAAAAAAAATTTAAAAATGTCTGGAAATTAAACAATAAAAATGTTAATCATAGGCATATTATTCTATTTTTTATCCAGAACTAGTTATTACACTCCATTAGTTAAAAAAAACAACCAGTATCTATAGTACATAGTAATGATCAAAAGTAGCCTCTTAAGACCTTATTTACTTAACTTCAAAGATAATGTAGTGGATTGAAAAGTGCTAAATCACAGGTCAGAAGAACTGGCGTTTATTCCCATCATATGTAGGTCTCTGTTTCTCAGTGTGTAATATGGGTGAACCATCCTGCCTGGCATACAGCGTTGTTCTAAACAGAAGGCGAGTATGAACTTACACCTTAAGCAGTTCAGTTAGGTCATGTTCCCACGTCACTGAATGTCATGGGAGGTGTGAAGATTTGCTGATTCTGTTTTACTGAATAAAACACAGAGTTTGGAATAACTCAGAATCATTTGAAGAAGCTTAGCTAAGAATTACAGAGTATCCTTTCCATTAACTACACAGCCTAGGAACTCTAGTTTGGCATGAGAGGTCTTAAGAAATGGGGTGGATTCTCCTGTGAACTAGTGAAGATTGCTTTCTATAGCCTCAGATCATGTTCCTAAATCTAGTTCACAGAACCACCTCCTTAGAGATGCAGACAGTGGAGCAGAGACAGATCGAAGTCCTGTCCTGCAGATGGGTGCCAGTGATGGCATCGTCTTACGCAAAGGATACACTTCTTAGGCCCAGTTGCAAAGTTGTAATTACTAACCCTGGGAGAGAAAATAACTAACTTGGCCCAGCTGGTGTGGCGCAGTGGTTTCGCATTGACCCCTGAACCAAGAGGTCACGGTTCAATTCCCCATGGAGGCACATGCAGGAGGCAACCAATCTATGATTCTCTCTCTCATCATTGATGTTTATGTCTCTCTCTCTCCCTCTCCCTCCCTTTATCTGAAATCAATTTTTAAAAAAAACTTTTTTTTAAAAGAAAATAACCAGCTCCATAGTGGATTGTCCTTTTACTAGTATATTTTAACTCTTAGAAAATCATGACCTAAGGGTAGAACATGAACCACAACAGTATCAACTCTGTGCTTAGATAAATTCATAGTTGATATATATATATATATATATATATATATATATATATATATATATATATTTCTACTTGCTATAAATCTAGGATTTTTGAGATTAAATTAAAGAAACATTTTACAAAGTATGTTTTTTAGAGCACTAGTTCTAAAAATTATTAGGTGTTACAAAAAAAGTTTTAGAAATGCTGGCTTAATCAACTTTAACTAGGCTTTTGTAAAATAATTATTTCTCAAAAGTGTTTTATTACATGTCAGTATCAAAGAAAAGAATATCGTGCACAGCATTACTGAAGTGCATTGGAACATAGAGCTTTTTTCTCACTTGAGCCTAGCATTCTATAAAAAATACATTGTAGGGAAAACTGAATCAAAGGATATTTAAAACCTATATAACACAGTCAAACCACCTGTCTGAAATAGTCAGGGGACTATAATTATTCCCCGATGTACTCTCTAAAGCGGTTTTGTTGCTAATGAAAACACCTGCCACAGGGTTCTAGATGTGAAGTATTTGCTGAAATGTGACTCCAGAGTTCTATACTTATTTTAAAAATGGACAGCAATCAAATACCTGAATACTTATTATCTGCTTAAGGATACAAGGACAATGAGTTGGAGAAGGTATTTCTTAAAATGTTATATAAACCTGACAGGGTTGGTGGCATTAATATAAAAAGCTCAGAATGATCAATGGCTAAGAGGCATGCAAGATTTGTAATTGGAAGTGGAAGGTTTTCTACTCGTATCCTTTTATTCAGCCTTGAACAATAACTTATCAAGAATCAGGTTTTCGGTGTGTTAGAAGATGCAGAGACAAGTGACATTTGGCCCATCCCTTCCAGGAGATAATAGTCTGGACAATTTTAATAGATGAGTGATGAATGCTATCACAGAGGACAGGGCACAGAAAGCTCGGATAATATTGAACTAAAAAGCTAAATGAGTAATATCACCAGGCCTTTCAAACAATCGCTCTTGGTCCAAGTGACAAGGCTGTTTAATACGTACATATGTGAATTGCACTTAGCTGTTATTAGTAGCAACAAGAATACAGACAACAGTTTGTTTGATTTGGAGTTGTTTCATTAAAGCTGTCTCTATTTTTTAACCAATAGTTACAGTAGGACAGTGCTTATTTTACAACGAAGATGCATTTACTCCAGAATTGCTTTGCTGCTATAATTCTCCATAAATATTAAACAACAACCGATGAGCTAGTCTCCATTCATATATTCCCTTGATTCAGAATCACTTTGCCTCTTGGGTACTGAAAGTACCAAGATACGTAAAGCATACTAATTTAGGTTTTGCATATTTATGCATGGCCTTAATTTTTGAACTCAACAAATTGAGAAGAATAAATATTCACAGGCTTGTGATTTTTCATAAACATAATTTCTCTAACCTGCATGAATTGAGAAATCTTATCTTCATTAGAGGATTCTCATTCTAAAGTTTTGTGATGCCCATCAAGTTTAGGAACTCAGAAATAAAGTTTATTCTATAGAAAATTCCATTGTCGAAGAGTAGAACTTTGAATTTGCAAGGGAGATGTGTATTAGAAATAGGAATACAGGTCGTACTTTCTGTTAGATGACACTGTAATTTTTCTGGGGCTCCCTATCTTCATTGCAAAAATACATGTTATCCCCAATACATATGTTACTGAATACTACAACTTAGTGAAAAAAAAATTATTTGAATGTTTCATTGTTTATTTGGACGAAGAAAATTTGGAGAATTCAACGAGTTGAAAAGGAAATCCTGAAAGTGACAAGAGAAAGGGATGGGGAGGGAACAAAGGAGACTGTAACATTATCTGCAATTTATATACATAAATACACATAGATATAGATATAGATATAGATTAGATATAGATATAGATATATATAGATATAGATATATAGATATAAAATAGTTATGTGAAAATAAGAAAATGACAATTGCCAATTTTCAATGTTGCTACATAAGTATTTCTTGCATTATTCCTGTATTATTTTTATTTAGACAAGAAATTATTATTAACAATCTGATTCATTCATTCAACAAATAATTTGTTGAGAGCCTACTATGTGATAGATGCCAGCAGGAAAATGGAGAAAATAAAGAACATCATCCCTGCCCTCATGGAGTTTATTTTAGATATGAAAGTGAAATAACTTGAGATCTGGTATAGACTGTTTACAAAGACAGAGTGAGGGAATGGGGGTGGTACTGTGGAGGTGGGCTGCCATCAATAACTGAATCAGTAAGGAGAGGTTATTCTGTGCTGATAGGAACTGCCTCATTTTTGGTCAAAATAGAGTGTAACTCTAATCATGCACTGGCCATGGGCCACATATGTAATGTCTACTTTCCTCTTTGGTTGCAATCCCAAGTTCACCTGCATTTTTCTTTGCTTCCCTCTAGTATATGACTGCTGCTGCTCCTATGCAAGGGACCTACATTCCCCAGTACACGCCTGTGCCTCCGACAGCTGTTTCTATTGAAGTAAGTCTGTCTCTGTCTTATGGAAAGAGGGTCACAGAGATACATCTCAGCCACATATGCCGTGGTCCCTATAGCCCAAGGAATCCTGATGTGAGATTTTTGTGCTTCTTTGAAATTTGAAATTGCAAGCTCAATATATGAAAATATGTGCCCATACCTGGCTATGCCTAGGTTTTCCTTTGCACATAAAATAAGTTAATTTGCTATCAAAGTATGAGGGAAGTGTCATTTTCATATTTAGAGAAAAGATCAGAGACTAAATCTCTATCCCATCAAATGTTAACCACAATACCCATAAATAGGGAGGAGGAATATTGCAACTCTTGTGCCTTGTTACTCAGAGAAGTCCCTGGACCAGCATTACAGACATCACTGGGGAGCTTGTTTAAAACTGCAAACTCAAACTCTCATGCACCACCTGGACCTCCTGAATCAGAATTGGCATTTTAAAAAAATGGAGGTAACATTATGTAAGTTTCAGGGGTGCAACACTATAATTCAGCATCTGTATATACTACATGGTGCTCACCACCAAAAGTCTGATTTCCATCTGTCACCAAATATTTGACCCACTTGCCCTTCCTCCATCCCCCCCACCCTCCCCTCAGCTAACGATCAATCTGTTGTCTATATTGATGAGTTTATTTTTGTTTTATATCCCACATATGAGTGAAATCATATGGTTTATGTCCTTTTTTGTCCGACGTTTTTCACTTTGTGTGGTACCCTCATGATCCATTCATGTTGTCACAGGTGGCAATATTTCATTTTTAACGGCTGAGTAATATTCCATTGTATACATAAGTACACCACATCTTCTTCAATCCATTTAAACATTTTGTATATGACAAATGTTTGCTGCTACTCAGAAGTTTAAGAGGACACTTCATGTAATTTAGGAACTCACAGAGACCCAGACTTGTAAGGCCCCAAAGAATGTGTCAGTTAATATTAAACAGGTTTTAATAGGACTTTCAAAATTTTAAGACTGTGTGATTAAAACACATTTTCCTTGCTATAGTTAGCTGTCAAAAAGTATCTAGGACATGAGAAAATTAAGAACCTGAACATTTAAACATAAATCTCTGCTACATATTTGCATTTCTCTATCTCAACACCAAAGATATATGGTTATCTACAGAATTTGAGCATTTTGATGACTACAAAATAATGAGACACATTCAATAGTGTGGCTTATGGAAAACAATATAATTATAGTTAAATCTAGGACTTAAAAAGTCTTTCATTAATAAAAATAGAGGTACACTCTGATATATTGCTTTTAGTTTATGTTTATAAGGAAAAGCATGAATTCATTTTTTATGTAAAAACACTCACTGAAAATTCACCAATATCCATACAACTAAATACTGGTGGAAGGTTCAGGAAAACACACACACAATACCAAATAGTATTAGGAAGATAAAGATTAATAAAGGGAGAATTTTCAGATTCTGAGGACCTCAAGGATCTTTTGTGGCAGAGAGCTGTCCAAGAACATCTGAAACTCAATACTGCTGCAGGTGTTCAAGGTTATAAGTGAAACTATGAGAATATATTCAGACAGATGCCTTTTAGGCCTAATAATTACCTAATAAAACTACCTATGCCTCTCTGGGAACCAATATGTGTCCCTAAAGAGACCGACTTCAGAAATTCATTCTTGTGGGCATCTGTGAGGATCAAGAGAATGAAAAGGTGAGGAAAAGAGCAAATCAAAATTTTGATGTTTGTTTGACTCTTTATCTGAAACCTTTAAGTGAATTCCAGTTCTTATTGTGGAAAACAAAAAACAAATCAAATTTCTGAAGGGAAACCTCCTTAACCGTATTCTTTTCAAAGAATTCCAAACGTTAATGTAGATGCTTATGCAGGTCAGAGTCCATTGCTTTGCCAGATCATATAGACATGGTACAGTGCACTATCCCAATAAAATGCTTGAGTATACAATTTTTTGTAGAAATCCTTCATGAATTTTTTAATAAATTACCATTCAGTGTGGCTGCATACAGGTCTGGTTGAAGAGTTGTAAGTATGAGCAAAATGATTTCTGATCATTTGACTGCTCCAAGGACGTGATGGCAAGGATCCTTGGGAGCTCATGGAGGTGAATTTCTCAGCTCTTAGCCACATGTGCTCCGTGGTTTTCCTTTGAGTACTTACTGTGGCTTCATAACTGAGTGCAATTTTCCTCCAGCCAAAGAGAAGTGGGGTCTTCTCTGAAGTCCATCTGGAAGAGGGCCCTTTGCTGAAGCCAATAAGACTTTGTGTTCTTATTTGCCTCCTTAGGGTGTTGTTGCTGATACCTCTCCCCAGACAGTGGCACCTTCATCCCAGGACACCAGTGGTCAGCAGCAACAGATAGCGGTGGACACATCCAACGAACATGCATCTGCATATTCCTACCAACAGTCTAAGTAAGTTCGAGCTGTACTAAGCTTTTTCCCTCAAGATCAACTATCTGGGCTTTACTCTCTCATGTTGCACCTATTAGCTTTTGCTGCAATACAGACCATCTCAAACTTAGTGACACGCATTTATTTAGTTCATAATTATGTGGGTTGGCAGTTTGAGTCAGGTGGATAGTTGACCGAACATCTGGGAACAGCTGCTTGACTGCCTCCTACACTCCCCCTATTGGGGATCGAGCCCTCAATGCAGGCATATGCCCTGACTGGGAATGGAACGGTGACCTCCTGGTTCACAAGTCGCTGCTCAACCACTGAGCCAAATCAGTCAGGCATGACCAGCATTTTTTCAATTCTGATTATGACTTATTTGCTGCTGCCCCTTTGGCCAAAGCATGACCAAGGTTCACTACCAAAAGGCTTGAATTCAGAAAGGAACATTAAAGCCATTTTTTAAAAAAATCTGTCATACATAGTTTTTCCATACATGAAACTAAGTAGTGAGCCTGCAGTTTGGTCTCCATTTTCCAATTTATCCAATCAATAATTATTGCTTACTGCATGACAGGGAGTATTGTAGATGCTAGTGAAAAACCAATGAACAAAGCAGATGCTCCCCAACTTTGAGTTTACTTTCTACTACGAGTAGACTCAGAATCAATGGGTCAATCAGCAAACAATAAAAAAGAAACAGAATTTCAAAGCAGACTGCTTAAAAAGATTCTTGTGGTAGAAAGTGACTGTGTAGATACCTAAGATTTGTATCAAGGACGGTCTCTCATATAGACCTAGTCTGTAAGATAATTAGAGGCCAATCTTGGAGAGCTTTGGAGAAAAAGCATTCTAGACAGAACCAACAGAGATTCAAAGATCCGGAGTGGGGACCTGATGCTGAAGTGTTGTAGATAAGGCCACGGGGGGGGGGGGGGATTGTAGGTGATACAGTAGAATTTTTATATCTAGCCTTTGTGTCGAGTAATTATTCTTGGTTTCATGCTGAGTTAGAAAACCTTTGGAGAAGAAATGACAGAATTTCGTTTATATTTCAGTGCCTCTGTTACCAATGCACCCTGAGTAGAGAGGGATGTGCATTTTAGGATGGATTTCAGGATGCAGCGTTCCCCCTCTTGCAATTGTCCAGAACCCCTTCTCCATTCCCTGTCTGATTAAATCAGCGTTAGCTGCTCCTATGTGTCAGCTCACAATCAGATGCTCTTTCTCAGGGTCCTCCCACCTATTCATTGTCTGATGTGATGGAGAGGCGAGTGCTCTGCCTCTCATGGATTCTAGTGAGAGTCTCCACACCCTGTTTCACTGGTAGCATCGTATGCCCGGTACTATGCTAAGAGACAGGACCTGTGCCCTCAGTCTAGTATGGGATTTAGACCTGCACATAGACAAGAAAAATAGACTGCAAGGAACAAAATGAACAGGGCTCTTTTTAAAAATGCAATAGAAAGTCATAGAAGAATGCACTTAATTTTTCTTGGTTGTGGTGAATGAAACTGTGTCTTCAAGGAAGGCTCACGGTACGGAGTGGAAAAACTCAGCATTTCTTTGAGAACCAGATGCAGAATAGTGTAAAAAGGCAGATGGGACCCAGATTCTCATATCAGGTGCGATACTGAGGTGCTCAAACAGAATTTTCTTTGCGTGTCCTTCCAGGTGAAGTGCAATGGTTCAGACAAAAGGGAACAGAGTTCTGAAGTAGGATGGTGGCAAGTGTAATAATGGTGGAGAGTTGGGAGGTAGAATGAAGTAAGAAAAAAAGGGAATGGGACATTAAAAGCTCAAGCAATACTGTGGAGTTATTGATGCCACTAAGAGAGGCAGATGAGAAAAAATGGGGGGAGGGATGGTTGTGGAGAAAGATGAGGGATTGAATTATAATGAGTCCATTCACAGACGCTTATTCCTTGGAAATATTTGAGGAAGTCTAAATCTGACCTCATAAAACTAGTGGCACCATGATTATGTGCCTTGAGCCACGAATTCTTACAGAGCTCTCCACAGATAATAAATGTCAAGACTAGAAGTCTCCATCCCTTGTCCTCAAGGAGGTAAGAAGAATGTTCCACAGGGAGTGCTCACTGCTGCAACATGACAGAGATGAAAGCACCTGGAACATTCCAAATGCGTGACATGGGAAAACCACTTGCATTGCCTTGCGGACGTTTTTTTAAGCCTGGAGAAAAAATTTCCACAGGTCCTGTTTATATTCTCAGTTTCCTCTTAAACAGTGCTGCTGTGAGGGTCGCCAAAGGAGGAATGCATGAGACCGAAAAGGGTAAATTATTATGAATTTATTAGGTCATCTGGAAAACCAGATGGGCTGAGCCTCAAAATGGTGCCAACACCCAGGGATGGGAAGTCAGATTTTAAAGGACTCTAGGCGGAGAAGTATCCGGACTGGAGGGGAAGGATAATGGTCTTAGCAAGTGGGATGTGGTCTAACTGAAAGGGACTGTTCCTTGTGAAGTGGCCTAAAGGTCTCCCAGGGCAGGGGGCATTGATTCAATTGTTTGATGAGACCTAACATAGTCTAGCCTTTGTGTTTTATGGAATAGGGATGAAGGCCATGTCTTCCATCGTTACTTACTGCTGAGGGGGACGCGAGATCATAGAGGGATGGACTTTAGAGTCGCTGGGACACTGTACAGATTTCTCAAGGTTGGAGGGAGGGGTTGCACCAGCATGACTTCCCCAAGAGACTGGTTGGTGAAGGCTTGAAAGTGGTCCTATTGAGTGACTTGGGAGGTAAAAGCTGGTCCTGAGGCTGCCACAGTGTCACTTCGGTTTTGCTGCTTTTCTGGGCCTGGAGCTGAAATACAAGGGAGACCTAGATGTTATCTTTAGGGAGGAAAAGAGCAGGGGGCTAAACTGCCTGACTAGTGATAGGAAAGGGGAGGCTAGGTTACCCGCGGGTCCAGGTTCTTGTTTTCCCCCTTGCTAGGCACCCAGAGCTTTCTGCCCGGGTGAGTTTCTGTACCTGGCGGTCAGAGGGACCCGGGCACAAAAGGAGGTTGTGATGATGTCTAGGGGTGGTTATTTCCTGAGTACAAACAGGGCTTGTAACCTGGTGGATAAATTTTAGTATTATTGAGGCAAAAGTTAGAGCAATAAGAATTATGACAAATGGTCTGATGGAAGAAAAGAGACATTGTTTTGGAGGGTTGTGGTATAATATACCAAAACGAGGTTTATTCTCTTAGCTTCGTTTGTCCTTGGGTGTGGTCGGCAAATGGCACTAACTACACTTCTGCTGTCTCCCTGAATAGGGTGGTTTAAGCTATTTACCCTCTGGTTGGGCAGGAAAAATGCAAACCATTTACTCTTAAGTGTCCTTGGTTTAGGGAAGATAGGATTTACTAGATGGCTGCAAACTGCTGTTTAACTGTCTCAGTTTCCCTATTCTGCTTGTCCTGGATTACTGGCCTGTGCATATAACTTCCTTTTAACATTTCTCCTTAGAAACCTTTTTACAACTTCACCTCACTTTCTTTTTCCCTCAAAATGCTGAAACCATACAATTTCTTGCCAATTTAATTAGAATTCTTAACTCTTAGAAACGTTAATTTTCCAATGATAATCAAAAAGTAACCCACCAGCATTTCTTAGATTATGAATACTGTCACTTTCAAGAAACGTACCTTCAACAAAGCATATGACATTACATTAACAGTTCAAAATCTACTTTATAGATTTTCTTTAAAAAAAAAAAAAGAAGCTAAAATCATGTGAACTTAAACATCTAAGTTTATCATTTAACTCAGAAATGCTCCAAAGCTTTTAAATTACCAATTAGGCACATGAGGCTGGGGAAGAGGGGGAGATGGGGAGCAGGCCCACAGACTCTTCTAGGACTACAGTTCCCAGGCCTCCAGCTGCTTGAATTTAAAACTGACACATTTTTCCTTAGAGATAACATGCTAAGGTTTGGGGATAATGACTTCTGCTTCTGTAGCAGGACGTTAAACGTTTGCAGTTTTGCTGTAAAGGAAGTTGTTCTTTAGGAAAGGGGTGTGTGTCTAGTAAGACGCAGTGTCGATGTGAGGTGGCTAATGGCTGTGAGACTAATCCATCAGTCCCAGTAATAGAGGCTGAGGAGGGCAGAATAAGTGGCCCCAGTGTCATTTCAAAAGGAGATCAGCTTACCTGCCACCATAATTGTTGCTTGAGGCTCTGTTTTGGTGACATAAGTCTGTGGGGCCTTGTCAGGGCCTGGGCAGCTTCTTCAGTGGCCAGTCCCAGAGGCCTGGGCACTCCAAACTGGATCCAGAGGGTGGCCTCGCTGGACTGGCTGAGGTCCGACTTGGAGGGGCTAGACTCCAGTTGATTTCAAGTGGCCTTCCCTTTCACACCTTGGGTGGGGGTCTTGTGTTTGAGCAGGACTTGGCCCAGTGTTCTTCCTTGTTGCCTTTGAAGCATGGGCCCAGAGGAGGCTTTGCCCCTAACTTACGTTGGCTGGAGGACAGGCGTTTCACTTGGGGTTCATGAGAGTGGCCTCAGCCTGATCTCGCCTTTGGGTTTGGGTCTCCTCATCTCTATTATTAAAGATCTTCAAGGCCAGGTTAATGAAAAATAGACACAGGTCGACAAATCCCTCAAAAGGACTTCAAAGTTTTTGGCATATGTCGGGGGCTGATTGGGGTATAAAATGGGTGTTTAGAAGGAAGGGTTCTCTCTGGGAAGCTGTGGTGTAAGGTGGTAAATTTCTGTAAGGCCTCCATGAGGCGGGAGAGGAAGAGAGGTGGGTATTTGTCAGGATTTTGAGTGCTTTCATTAAGTTTGTCATAGTTGACCGCTTTATAGGCAGCTTTTTTGAGTCTGGCCATGAGACAGATGATCATATGGCTATAGAGCCGGCACCCTGGAAAATTAACTTGCTAGTCCCACCTCAGGTCAGTTCAAGGGACCACGTAGGTGCCAACTGGGTTGGCTGCCATGTCCTGTCTCTGGAGGGCATCGGCATGGTCCTGAGCTGCTAGACAGACATGCTCCTTCTCCTC